TTTATTGGGTGTGGGCCCTAAGAGAAGCACCTTAACCTAGAGGTAGAAGTTATGGAGAAGCAGATTCTGGCTCAACATAAGCAGACAACTAAAGGTGTGTAAGACAAATATGAGGTTTGGCTCATATGATGTTGTTGGCTTTTTTAGGTAAAAAAAAAAAAAAAAATGGCCCCAAATAGCAGTACCTTCCTATGACACACAAACACTAAATATCAACTATCATATGTTGAGTAGCTACCAAGTGTTGGGCACCGAATTCACTCCTCTGTATATGTTAGCTCACTTTATTCTAATGCAACCTTATAATATATGATTTATTATTCCCATTTCATAGAGGCTCGAGAAGGTTTAAATACATTCCCCAGGTAACAAAGCAAGCAGGAGGCAAAGTCTACATTTTAAACCAGTCCTGTCTGACTTCGAAAACTTCACTCTGATTCACTAGTCCATACACTTATATTCTACATTCTATACAAAGAGCCAAGGTGGAGAGTCACTTAGGGTCACTGAGGATGTTCAAGCACGGGCAGTGATTAATAATTCCATTTCCCACGTAAAACAAACTAAGAGCAGGAATCTTCAGTGCCTTGTTCATCTACATCTGTTATCTGACCCAAGGGGAAACGTTAGAATAGCTTTATTACCTTCAGCTGGGGACGTGCAGGAGGGCACCGAGGGGGTACTGCTGTGTCTCACCGAGGACTCTTAGGTGGATGGGAACGCAGAGCCACAAGGAATGTGTTTAATAGCAAGTTCAGCTTCTTACCGGTGATAATAACATGGTATCTCTATCATCCTTCCCTCCTTCTGAATAAGGCGGTGGGGGGGCTTTGTTTGACTCTCAGTAGACAGAGGCCAGGCCTTGCTTGAGGATGTAAATCTCATTCTGCAATCTGAATACTGTCCTCTCGCATCACACCCTGTATGAATCTTGCTGACGCCCGACTAGTCGAGATTTCTCCTTCCATCCTGCCTGATTAAAGCCAATTACATGTAACACGGGAGCATGAGTGCTCTTTCTACAGCCCCAGTACAACACTCACCACCCAAGCCTGGAGGAGACACCTATGGCTGCAAATGATCCACGGCACCTGTGTGCAAAGTCTCATAAGCAGAGTCGAGGTGACTAATACACAACATTAGTGCAGGTCAGGACAGAGGATGGGGGAGTTGGGGGGGGTGAAGGGCTATGCCATTTTACCAGACTTCTCTTACTTTACTAATTTAATATTTAAAAAAAGGTCAGCTTATGGGGGGGGGCTGGACAGAAAAATATGTAAAATAAAAAATATATATATATAAATATAAAAACACATAAAATAAAAATTTGAAGCTGTCTACTCCCACCCGGGAGGGGCGAGTAAGACTAGACCATGTGTACTGTATATACTGTGAGCTGCCCTTAGAGTCTAACACTCTATCCTGGGATCTGTCCTGCCTCAGCACGCACGCTGCCGCATGGCTTAAAGGGCTGCACCGTATTCCACCGGCCAGATGCTCTTGGCCTTAGTCTACCAGTTCCCTATTGCTGAGAATTTGGCTGCAGAGAACTTTCATTAGTGAGTAGTTTCAGTAAAGCAATAGATACATAGGACTATAAAACAGTTGACAACTCCCATCCAAATGGGAATTCAAATTTCAAAAAATAGCAATTTAAACAGCTTAGGAATTTTGAACAGTTTTATTAATTTCAAACCTTTTGAATGCTTGTTATTAAATGAGAAAGCGCCCATTATTGCCCCACATACTTATCAGCAAAATGAAACCTTTCCTTTTCCTTGAAGTGTTTTGACAGAATTTCTGAAAACAAGAAATGAAGGGCCTCTAGGGGAAAGTGAACACACCAGGCATATGAGATTCTGGTGCTCCTCCTTAGTAGAGGGGTTATTTTCAATCAGGTACTTACCATGCCTGGTAGGTATCAGACAAAACCAGATTGCACTGAAAAGCATGAGCTCTTCAGACTATCTTCCTACAGAGGCCTTTCTTTTATTGAATTACTGTAGCTTTTAGAAAAATCTATAGCAGTCTTTGAAGAGATCTTAAATAGTACACATCTCAAGATATCTCAAATAGTAGCTGATAATCAATAATAAATCAAATAATAAAACTATATTCTTCTCTTATGTTGGTCTTTATTTTCAAGGAAGGGCTTCTGTCAAATCTAACAAAGCCTGGTGGCTTTCTAGTCATCTTTTATTGCAAACATACCCCTTAGGTGGCAAGTATCTACAACACACGAGAGCGCAAAGTGTTGACATACGTTTCTGAGGCTGGGTCAAATGGACACACGGTACCAAACACCTAAACTTGGACGGGGTTGCAAATGAACTTTATGTGTCAGAAACTGCATGTACAGATGCAGCTTGGCTCATTCTTTACATGTGGTGGGTATTTAATAAATATGAGCTGAGTGAATGAAGAAATGGTTTCGAAAGGCAACATATTGTCAAGTTGTCTCATGGTGACAGCCCACATTCCTAAGAATGGTGAGCAGAAAAAAGGATGGAATCTGGTGCCAAGAAAGATTATATTTCCAGAATCGCTGCCTCTCTGGTCCACTGTAGAAGCGTGAAGCGGTTGAAATAAATCTTCAAAGAACACTCAAACCTTCCTATCTGCCCAGTCTTCCTAATTCACCCTTCGTCCTGCCTGTTCTTGTACCCATGACCATGACTGGTGAGGCTCATATTCTTGCCGTGGCTTCTTCCTCCTCTCGTACCACCCGCACTCACAGCAATCCTAATAAAATAATTTTCACTAACGTCTAAATGACTAATATAGCGAAACTTTCTCTCTTTAGGATTCCTTATTTTTTTAATAAAAGACACAGAAATTAATCTTCAGTTTATTAATGTCTCAGGATACTTGTATAGTCACATGGACCTTCCAGTACCTCTGAAATCACCCTGTGCAGCATGATGCCCGCCCCCGTGGTTACCCATACACCAGGGTTTGTCCACACCTAGAATTATGCATTGGGCTCCAAATTCTTTCAATGATCCCAAACTATATTCCTTAGTCTTAATCTGAGGAAGGAGGACCAAGATATCTGTATGATTCTAAGCTTTGGCTTTGCCAGAAGGAAGTCAGTCCTCTTTTACGTTATTGAAAACAACTAAGTCACAGGGACCTATTTTATGTCACCGAAAAGAAGTCGCACATATAGTACAGCCACTCAGAATCGTTAGAAGGCTAAACCAAGGGTAAAAGTTTGAAACACCCTGATTCTCCACGGTATGTTATAAAGCAGTCAGAAATATCTGTGGCCCAGAAGCAAACTAGTTAGCACTTGCTAAGTATAACTATTGTTTGAAGAATTACTTATAGCCAATTACGATACACATATCTGGTCTGGGACATATATTTTGTAGTGGCTCCTCTGAAGGGATCTGCAAATTAAATTATTTAAATATGCTTATCATTAGTTTAAATAAACGACATTTATTTTGGCGAGATTAATTTTTAACTCAGCAGCTGTTTTCAGACAGACTGTTGTCAGGTTATTACGGTGACTAACTTTGAGAGAAGGAAGACATTTACAGGAGATTATTTTGGTTTTAGACTTTCAGCTTGCATTTCTCCAAAGAGGCCAATCATTTTGTCAATGCCCTAAGCTACTGGGTCCCAAAGACACTGCAATGTTTGCATCTTTGTGACCTGATTTCAATAATAACCCCACATGTGGAGAACTAAAAATGTTCTTTAAAAGAGAAATTCTTCAAATATACTGTTCGGAAGCTGTTTTGTGGGTAAGTTGGAGATTTATATAGGAGTACATCATAGAGGAGCAGGGTAATATATTGGTAATATTCTGAAAAGAGACTTGGAAGATGTGGGTTCAAGTCCCAACTCTGAGAAGCCCAGTAACTTGCTGTGCACTTGCAAAGGCCTCTGGCCTCAATTTCCTATCTGCAAGAGGAGGGCAAGTGGGGGTGACCACTAAAATCCTTTGGTGAAAAGTCCATGCACCTGTGAAACCAGCCTAGGTAGTATCAGATTTTGCCCAAGGTTGTGCCGTGGTCTATATAAAGACCACAGCATATCTCTTCATCTATTGCACTGAAAACCCACAGTTCCTACATCCCATTTGCCTCCAATTTTAACGTCTCAACTTTCAGCCACGATTCATGACAACAATGTCACCTGACATTGCAGCTATCAATGGGATAGTAACCCCAAATTATGTTTGATTACTGGCTAGCAGAGTGGAATAGAAGGGGGCTTCCTGGAGAAGGGGACAACTGTCACCATCTACTTAAACACTGCTTTGAATTTATTAGCAAATTGCCAGTTTATCATACAAAGTAACAAGCTACAAATCAAATTTCAATGAAACAGCATGATAGGCTACAGAAATACCATGAAGTAGCTACCAACAACCTGTTTCATTTGCTCTCATTGAAAAGGAACTTCAATAATTAAACTTTGAGCAATGGAGAAATGAGGAAGTCTATTTTTAATCAGAAAAAGATGACCCAAGACAACAGATTGGCTTTTTTTAAACATAAAAAGCTCTCAGAATATATA